ACTTTTTTCTTGTTTTATTACTGCCATATCAATATCATTAACGTTATTAGTTTATTCTTCTAAGGCATTATCTTTTTCTTTTTCTATGTCTTAGAAGTTTTCTAGTACATTATTATTATTATTATTTTATTTTTTGTCATCATTTCCCATTATTTGTTCTAAATCGTCAAGGGGAATATGTTCCATTTCTCCCAAGCTAATTAATTCTAATTGTTTATAGATATCTTCTTCTAATTCTATTATCTCATTATTTATTTCTTTTATTATTTCTTCATCTACCATATCTAATTATTCAGTTATTTGTAATATTATTTAGTATTTTATTTCATTATCATTTTCTTCTTCAATCATTTCTTCTAACTGTCTTAATCTATAGTTACTTAACTCCATTATCTTTTTGTTTTGCAGGTGAAATTAATTCAAAGGGTTTCTTCGGATGACTTCCTCTACATGGATAGGGATGTAAATCTTTTTTTTTTTTTCTTCAAAAATGGCTACTTATTTTTCTGAATCTTGTATAAAATGTCTAATTTCGTTTATTATTTCTAATTAATTAGTTCTAAGTTTTTCGTTAATTTCTTTTAATAGCCTAAATAAGGTATTATTTTATTCTATTATTAGTTAAGTTATTAGATTATACTTCTTCACTATATTTAATACTCATGCAAGAGTTATTGGCAAGGCCGAGAAATCGGACTTTGATACCAATTCAATTGCGGATTTGTGGATCTAATTTAATATTAACTCTTGTAAAATCTTTCGTTGTTATTCTATATATACTCGTTTTTTCTAAGGATATTTTATTTTTAATACTGGTAATTCTTTGACTATAATTTATTATAGATTGTCAATAATTTAATCTATTTAACTCATTTTCTAATTCAAGAATATAATCTAGACTATCTTTTATTTCAGTTATAAGTGTTGTAATTAAATGCATATAATTACTAATTCTAATTTTATATGAAAATATAATTTTTATTTACTATTTATATATATTTTTTGTAATTTTTTCAAGTCTTTTGGGTCAATTTGTAATTTAATGGAAGTTATTGGTGATAGGAATTGCTAAGGTGACTTTGGTTTGACGAAGTATTTGTCCAGATGAATTTTGACCCAAATTGCGGCTCCAACTTTTGAGTTACAAGCAGAAATGCTATATGTTGGTGGTGATGTATACATTTGACCCAATATGAGAAGTATAAGATAACATAGGAATCTATTACCATATTGGAATGATGGAATATATTGAAATGGAATATTTATTTTAATTTCGTATTTTTTTTAATATTTGATGTTCTTTATTTAAGTGAAAATATTCATACCTTAATTAAAGTTAGTGTTGTTTTTACTATTATATGTTTTTATTATCACTATCCAACTGCCACTATCGCTTATCATAATTATTATCGTCACAACTACCGTAATTATCATCTTATTACTGTCACTATTACTCCAACTGCTACCCTACAACTATTATTGCCAATCATAACTATCTTACTGTCACTGCCCTACTATCGTTGTCACTATTACCTTTATATTACCACAACCTCCCACCACATTTTTACATCCACCACTAGGGGTGGGCGCGGGTCGGTTGCGGCCACGGAACCTCCAATCCGCCATCCGTCCGCCAGATTGGCGGATTGAAGAAAATCAATCCGCATCCGTCCGCCAATCCGGCGGATGTGGATTGAGCGGATTGGCGGTTTGGCGGATGGATGCGAATCGGTTTGGCGGTTTAAAATTTTATAAATTTTCAACATAATTCAACTTGTGCACTTCCTCAAACGAAAAAAGAAAAAAAATAAAAAGAAAGTATTACAGTCAATGACTTAAAAAAATATTACAATCACTGTATGCCTTATCTAAAGAAAAAAAGTTTGAAACTTTAGAATATCATGATCACTGCATGCCTCATCCACATATTACAATCACAGTATGATTCATCCCCATAAAGTATTACAATCTGTGATTCTTAAAATATAATAACAATTCAAATCACCAAAACCATGAACAGAGCAGTAGTAGAGATTGAATGTCTCTGTATTGTTACATCTACATATGTTTTTGAAAACAAAAACCAACCAACATATATCATATTTTCTATTTATTATTTTTAGAGTTACATTTAAAAACTAAAAAATATATATGAATAATACGTTTATTTTTTTCAATTCAAAAAATATATTCAAGTTGAAAATTTTTTTTCAACAGAATATTTAAACTCTTTTTCAATTGAAAACACAAATATAATATTTAAACAAATTAAAAATACAAAGTCTTATAAATTACTAGGGGTGCTCGCGATTTGGCGGTTTGGCGGTTCAGTTGCGGCCAAAAAATCTCAAATCCGCCATCCGTCCGCCAAATTGGCGGATTTGAGAAAATCAATCCGCAACCGTCCGCTCGTCATCACGCATCCGTCCAAAATGCGGCGGATCGGTTTGGTTCGGTCGGTTTTGACGGATCGGTATATCCGCTGCTCACCCCTATCCACCACCACTAAAACTACATAATACCATCACCACCAACCACCTCTATCATTCTACTATTACTGTCGAAGTGGTCCCAACTCTTCTAGTTATTTGAATAGAGGAATATGGTAGTGGGTATGTATATAAAGGTGGTGTTTGGAATTATGGGTTTTGATTAAAATAATCAATAAAAAAAATTAAAATAGTCAATAAGATAAAAATGTCATATCTTAAACATTAATCAATAATTTTTTGTACTTAACCATATATTCAACTATAAAAAAAATTCATAAATCATCTAAAATATAATTTATTTCATCTCATGAAATAGTGAAATAGCTAAATTCTCAAACTAGCCAAAAGATTTGATTGAAATGGAATATTTATTTTAAGTTGGCAATTTTTTTTAAGAGTTTTACTTTTTGACAAGAAATACATGTTAGATAATGTCTCAATGGGACCACATAATTAAATGTGGTGTTATCATTTATAAGAAGCCTACAATTTAAGTGATTCAATTTAGTTAATAGGCTTAAGGGTATATGTGTTATGGACCTAATGTGTAGATACTAGTTGTATAATTTCTATTTCTATGAGGGGCAGAAATAGAAATTAAAACATATTGGTTAAAGTTGGTTTTCATTCCTTTTGAACTTCCACAACCTTTCAGTTTTGAAAACCAATAAATAGAAATTAAAACCAATAATGGTTAAAGTTGGTTTTCATTCCTTTTGAACTTCCACAACCTTTCAGTTTTGAAAACCAATTACAACCTTTAAAAGGTTATGGTCCCTATTCCTTCCCAAGTGGAAAATAAGAACATTGCCATTTTTTTCCTAAATTCTCTCAAGGAGAAACATAAGGCACTAAAGGGGAAAGGATTAGAAGGCAATAACATAATCAATAACAAAGAGTTCATTGATAATCACGCTTCCGTTTAACCGTTCTTCAATGGATTCAGGTATGTCATTTTGTCTTGATTTCTTGATAATACACATGGTAAATGATCCAAAGTGTAAGATTTATGTTCTGAAATTTATGTTTACAATACCACCATTGTGAGATAGCGTAAGATGTAACGTTTGTCAAGTAATTTTGCAAGCATGCCTAAAGAAAAATGTTACAGAAACTAAATTTTTACAGATTTTTATACTAATTGATGTTAGATGTAATACTAAAATTATAAAATTTAAAACAAGTATCATTTCAACAATATAATAGATACAACATAAACAAATAGCAATAAATAAATAAATTTGTGTAACAATGTAAATGCCAAAATATTTAAAGTGGTGGTAAGTACAACAAGTAGCATACTATAACCAATAGAATTACAAATTAAAAACGACCTGTTTGATTTTAAGTTTTTAAAAATAATTCTTTGAGTTTTTAATTTATATTTTTAATAAATTTAAAAAATATTTTAATATACTTAAATATTAAAAAAATTATGCAAAATTATTTTAAAAATTTATTGAATACAAAAAAAATATTGATTTTTTTTTAAAAATATTTTTTATATTTAGTATTTTTTTTTACAAATATTATACTTTTAAGTGTATTTAGATTAGGTGTATTTAAAAAATAATAAATTTATGTAAAATATTAGAAATTCACTAAAATTATAAAAAAACAAAAACAAAAACAAATAAACTAAGGTAGCGTTTGGCAGAGTTTTCTAAATATGATTTGAGAATATGAGTTGTATTTTGAGTTCATGAGTTTTGAAATTATGATTTGAGCGTAAAAGATTTGTTTGGTGAATGAGTTTTAAAAATAGTTTTAAATTGAGTGAGAAATTTTTGATGTGACATATGATATTTGATAGAAAAACTTACAATTCATAACTAAACACACAATTCAAAATTCTATTTAAAACTCATAAATTTTTTTTAAAAAAAAATTCAATTTTTTTAATTTAAAATATAAAAAATAACATGTTCCAATTGTTAAAAAAAAAGAAAAAGAAATATTATACTGTTCTGGTCAACCGATTGGACATTCAGGAGGATAACCGGCCGGACGTATGGGGGACGATTGATTAGCCCAATTTTTTTTCGCCTTGGAAAGAATTTTCAAAAGTGGATGTGCAATTAATTTTTAAAAACTGTAACCAAACATCACATGCAAATTAAGAGGTAGAATTAATTTGGGCAAATTACAAAAACCCCCTTGAGGTTTGGTGAAAATACAGGTTTCTTTGAAGTTTAAGAAATTACAAATTGCCCCCTAAGATTTATATTTCTATAACAAATTGCTCCCTGAGGTTTTTATTTTCATACAGATTCTTCCTTAATTTGTTATGTAAATTTGACCTTTAAGGGGCAATTTGTAATTTCTCAAACTTCAAGGGAGAATCTGTATTTTTACCAAATCTCGAGGGGGTGTTTGTAATTTGCCCAATTAATTTCTGAAAAGTTAACTCATTTTCTAGAACCAAACAAAAATTAAAGCAAATACGAGGGCACCAGAGCAAAAACCGACAACATCAGATGACGGTGGCACTTCTATTTTCCTCCCAAATTCCCATTCTTGCATTGCAAGTGTTCGTTTTTTTTGCCTCTTTAACATTTCTCAGTTCATTCTCACCTTTCAACTTCAATTCCGATTTTCACCCAAATTCCAAATCTATGCATTCCATTGTATAGAGTCCTATTAGGTTGCTGATCGCAAACAGTGGTGATCTCGAACCAGATCTAGGGCTTCGTGTTCGAAGATTTCGAGTCAATTTCGCGGATTTACGCCGAGAAAGTTTCGAATTGGTGGTTTGGGGTTCGAGATCTGGGTTTTTTGGTTTGGCGGATTCAATTTTGGAGGTGATTTTAGGGTTTTACGGAGAGAGAGAGAGAGAATAGGAAGAGATTCTGATAACTCGAACTGAATACAGAGCCAGATACAGGCTCATAGATTGATTGATTCTGATCTGGGTTTGATTCGCTGTTTGAGGCCCAGATTCGAGGCAAATTTTGCGGTTTTAGGTGTTTATGTTATCATAGTGTTAAGATTTCTGAGGTAGATTTTGAAAATGCCTGTTAAATCTGCGAATTTGTCGTTTCGGGATCGGACTCAGGAGTTTTTGAGCGTAGCAGAGAGGTTAAAGAAGTCATTTTCGTCTTCCCAGAATGTGCAGAGTAGTAGCAGTAGTTCAAAACCAGAGGATCAGCGCGCAGCCATTGCCATTCAGTCGGAGTTCAACAAGAGGGCATCTAAAATTGGGTTTGGAATACACCAGACATCGCAGAAGCTTGCGAAACTGGCTAAATGTAAGCAATTGAATTGTTAAGTATTTTAAACTTGAAATCAAATCTAACCTTCAACCGAAAAAAAAAAAAAAAAGAAAAAAAGAAAGTATTTTTGATAATCTGTTTCCATTTGAAGTTTCTGATATGTTACATTCATATTTCTAGTATTTTATGAGCTCAAAAATGTTGGTATTTTGTTGAGAGAGAGTTCTCAATCCGTAAACACAGGGTAGGGAATGTTATGTTCAACGTTGTCAGAAAACGCTAATACCCTTGCAATTTACATACTGGTACGTAAATTGAATGATCCGATGTGATCCGAAAAGTTTTTTCCAATATATTTCTTAGGAGAAAAAAAAATCAAATATATAAATAAAATCTAAGATGTTTTGACAAGACAAAAACATAAAAATTAGTCATAATTTTCATAGAAATGATTTGCTATATGAAAAAAAAAAAAAATACCTAATAGTTAAAAGAAAATTACTCTAAAAAATATTAAATTCTTAAGCATAATATATACAAGTCTACTCTTATTGTACCACATTTTAGAGCATGTAACGTATGTACCAGAACGATCCACGTTCTAAGTAACATAGGTTTTGTTTTGGATTAAAATTATTAAAAGAATATGCTAATGGAGCAGGGTAAACTTTCCCATTATTTATGTGTTAACATTATTGTCAATTTTGATAAGTTATGTAAGATGATAGGCAGAAACCATAACCTTAAACACGTAAGTGGGTTGAAATTACATATACGCAGTTTGGTCTAACAAAGCAAGATAAAGAAGTGCACAGACTTCACATGTGTCACATATTAATAATGGGGGAACTTTTGACATGGGTCGTAGGAATTGCCATGTTATCTTGATATATTACATATATAAAATATATGCTGTATAGATGAAAAAGTTGACATGAACCCTTAAATTGGCCATGATTGGAAAAAGTAGAAATTAGGTATAGGGCACAGTTGGGACACCGTGTAATAAAGTTTTCGATCAAGTATTTTTCTATTTTAATTTTAGGTTAATATACTGTTGGCATAATTTTATTTATGTTATTCGTAATGTATAGGATTCAAGGTTGTTATGGTAATTTTTAGACTTATTTGGTTATAGAGGGTGGCTTATGAGTTGTATTTTGAGCCTATTTGTGTTATTGGGTTGTAATTTGTGGACTTTAATAGGTTTATATTTCTAAGAAGGTGGACACATGTTCAAAAATGTCAAGTTATTTTTTTAACTAGAGATGTTTCAAGTACTTGGGGATACACATGTCAATCACTTAAACTCTTAAACACACATAAAATGATTATAAGTTTGAACAAAATAACTCAAAGGATGAAATATTCATATATATAACATATAATAAATATATAAAATTATATATTTATCAAAAATATATATATATGTATATATATAAAATTATATATTTTGTGTGTGTCTCCCATTTATCGTGCCTTGTATTTAAAAAAAAAAGTCATGTTGGCATGGCCATGGCTATGTCATGTATCTGTTGCTTCTTAATTAGATTATCGTATTGATGTAGAGATTATCATACACTAGCAATTCAAATAAGTAAAAATAAAACAAAATATTTACTATATATTATGTGTCACTCAAGTGGTAAGAGTCTTCTTCGTTAGACCAAAGGTCCAAGGTTCAAGTCCCACTCCGCTCATCTATCAAATTTTTTTTGTTTCAAATAGAGAAATGAGTAACGCGTGGCATAAGAAGAAGTAAGCAAAGGCTTGGACACCAAGTCTAGCCTTCACTTAATATAAGATTATAGATAGTATAGATTAAGTGGCATTGCTTGTGTGTTAAAACATTAAAGGTTTTACAGATTTGTGAAAAATTTCCACCACCTTTTATGTACATTATGATTTCCAAGGTCATAAGAAATATTTGGTGATTTTGTTTGGATGAGAAGTGATGTGGTCATTGTTTGTTAGGCTGCTTGATTATCTGGTGCCTTTCGTATTTTTATGTAGAATTATTACTTTCTTGTTTTTTCCACAGTGGCAAAGAGGACCTCTGTTTTTGATGACCCCACCATGGAAATCCAGGAGTTGACTGCAGTTATCAAGCAAGATATTACTGCACTCAATTCGGCTGTTGTGGACCTTCAGCTCCACTGTAACTCCCGGAATGAAAGCGCGAATATCTCCACCGACACAAGCAGTCATTCAACTACAGTTGTAGATGACTTGAAGAACCGCTTGATGAGCACTACGAAAGAGTTCAAAGAAGTCCTCACCATGCGAACAGAGGTGAGGCTGTACTTTGCTTGCTCAGTGTGGCTATGGGGGGTGTATGGGACTATCTTGGGGTGGTGTTACTTTGTGGATCTTTCTTTGTTGCATTGTTAACCTTTAGACTAAATGCATTCTCTTCAATTTATGCAGAATTTGAAGGTTCATGAGAATAGAAGACAATTATTTTCTTCTACTGCTTCCAAGGAGTCTACAAATCCGTTTGTTCGCCAGCGTCCACTGGCTACAAGATCAGCTGCCAGTGCATCAGTCGCTCCTCCTCCTCCCTGGGTTAATGGGTCACCATCTTCATCCCAGCATGGGTAAAGTCTGAAATGCCCTTTCAGCACTTTCATTCAGCATCTGGTTTAAACTTCCTAGTCTTTTAGAAGGCTTGAACCTAAGAAGCACGGACACTTCTAAGAAGGTGATGTATCCGTGTCATGTCCGTGTCGGACAGCAATACACTTTAAACACTTCCTGACACGTGTTCGACACTCGGTCAAAACGTGTCCTATTTTTAATTTTTTTTAAAGATCCCGACATTCTTCGGACATTTAGAGAATACGCGCGTCTATCACTTAAACACACGTGTCTCTTGATTAGACACGGGTGAAACTAATTATAAGTTTGAATAAAACAACTTAAGATAGGGTAATAAAAGAAAATTCATGTTGCATTTTTTTTATTATCTTTGAATAATATATTCATATATATATATGACATATAATAAACATATAATATTATATATTTCATGCATGTCCTCCCACAGTCGCGTCCATTTTTTGAAAATTGGCACGTCGGCTTGTCCGTATTTGTGTCCATGCTTCTTAGGCTTAAACCATTTGTCACTTTTCTTTCTCGAGAAAATAATGTTAGAATATGATCCGTACCATTAGTTTTCAATGATGGTTCTGTACTGCCCACCTTTTTGATGATGGATCGAAAGCTTCAAATGTGTTGAAGCACAATGTGGTATTTTGTCATTGGATGTTCAAATGGGCTCTAGGACATTACTAATACCACCTTTATCCTTTGCAATTTTTAAAATTATTAATTTGCTCACAAGTCACAACTTTAGTCATTTCATATTTTCACCTTCCAAAAAACAAAAACTAATAATCTATACTTACCTTTTTTTTTGTGTGTGGACAGGAACACTCTGAATTGGTTTTGTTAAGTAAAATATTTTTATCGTGGGATTTTTTGTGGAGGTCCCTTTTTTCCTATATGTTGGGCTGCACTTGATCACGAAAGCTTATGTCATGTTTGTTTTTTTGTAATATTTTGTACTGTGGAAAGCACAAATATGAATTGATGATCAATGATTTATGCACTAGCAACACCTTATACCTGTGTCCTGGTTATTCTTCTAGTAGGAAGCAGGTGGATGGGGAGACTCAGCCATTGCTGCAGCAGCAACAGCAACAGCAGTTGGTTCCATTACAAGACAGTTACATGCAGAGTAGAGCTGAAGCTCTTCAAAATGTGGAGTCAACCATTCATGAGCTGAGCAACATCTTCAACCAGCTGGCAACATTGGTTTCTGAACAAGGAGAAATTGCCATCAGGTTTCACTTTTAACTCCTGGCACATTACATGTTACATGCACTAACTTCTCTTTTTCTTCTTCTTTTTAAGCCAATTATATTTCATGCATCATTATTATTGCCCAATCAGTTTTAACATTTTGATTGGAAATGTTCACTTTTAAGCATTCCCATTTTGATGTACAACGTTGCTTGTGTTAACCAGAAATTCTTCATGATTGAATTGTCAATCTTTAGATGTTTCTAAGACTCATCTGAATTTGAACCTCACAACCTAAGGATGTATTTGTGTTGGGAACTTGCATTCATTTTAACAACTCTTTGCTTGTGCTTGGTAGATAAATTGTAGTCATTCTGCATGATCTAGGTTTGCAAATCTTTAGATCTCTAATGATGATTTACAAGACTCGTTTGAATTTGATCTTAACCAACTGAATGGCATGCTTGTGGCAGGATTGATGAAAACATGGAAGACACATTGGCAAATGTAGAGGGGGCACAAGGGGCTTTGCTCAAATATATGAACAGCATATCATCTAATAGGTGGCTGATGATCAAAATATTCTTTGTATTGATTTTCTTCCTCATGATTTTCCTATTTTTTGTGGCATAGGTAAAGCTCACAGGCCTATAACAAAAGACAGTGATCATGTAATTTTTACTGGTGTAACGAGGAGCCTGTTATATTCTTTTTAATATTTTGTATTCCATTTTTAATATCCGCGTGTGTGAAGTTGGTGCACCTTTTGCCTTCTGTACTAGTATGTCATGAATGTATTTGTATGAAACTCATTTCAAATAGTTACTAAATTTGCTCTGAAATATATGGAGTGTAATTTGGAAGTAAATTGAAGTAAGTCTTGTAAATGGCCTAAATTTTTTTTTCTTGGCTGAGGACATGTTTCTCTTTCTAATTGTGCCCTGAGCGTTCCTGTGTAAACCAATCTTTTGATTTCTTGTTTGGATGAAATATTATGAAAATTATTTGCATCCTGATGTGGGGTGTCCATGGTAAGTGTGGTTATATAATATTGGATCCTGTCAACATGTGTTCTTTGCTAATCTTGTAAAATGTAAAAATTTTACATTTTTACAAGTGAGTAATTAGGAATATACGTTCGTTTAATAGTTTGTTTATTAATATTTTAAGGGCATGTTTTAAAAAAAATTTGTGATATTTTTAGTTTTTATTAATGTTTCAAGGACACGTGTTAACAAAAGTAAGAATATAAGATCATTTAATAGTTTGTTTACTAACTTTTTGTATATGTGTTAAAAAAATTTGTAATACTTTTGGCTTTTACTAATATTTGAAGGACATATGTTAACAAAAGTAGTAGGAATATATCATTTTACAAGAAGGACATATGTCAAAAAAGTTTGTGATACTTTTAGCATTTCCTAATGTTTTAGGGACACATATTGACGAAAGTACAAATAGATGATCATTTTATAGTTTAGATGCTAATGTTTTATAGACATGTGTTAACAAAAGTACGAATATACGATCATTTAGGAGTGTTTTGAAAAGTTAAATAAAAGTTAATTTTTTAACTCTTTTTTATTTTTTTATGGATAAAAAATGTGAGAGTTAAAGTAACATAAAATGGGTTAAAAGCCAGCTTTCCAAAGTGCCAATAGTTTAGGTACTAATATTTTAAGGATACATCGCACGTGTTAAAAAAGTTTGTGATACTTTTAATTTTTACTGATGTTTTGAAGGCACATGTTTACATAAGTAAGAATATACGATCATTTAACAAAGACACATGTTAAAAAAGTTTGTGATACTTTTAATTTTTACTAATGTTTTAAAGGCACATGTTTACAAAAGTAGGAATATACGATTATTTAACAAAGACAAGTGTTAAAAACGTTTGTGATACTTTTAACTTTTATTAATATTTTAAGAACATGCATTAACAAAACGATGAATATTTGATCATTTAATTTTTTAAGGCCTCGTTTGGGAACAAGCTAATTTAGTAACTTTTTGGCTAATTGACTAAAAAGGTAGGTAAAAAAAACTTGTATGTTTGGGATGACTTTTTGACTAATTACGAAAAGCTGTGCAAAAAGTAGAGAGAAGCCGTAATTGTTGACTTTTTGGTATGACTAATTGGCTAATTGGCTAATTTAGTAACTTTTTGACTAATTGGCTAAAAAAGTTAGTTCCCAAACGGGGCCTTACTAACGTTTTTATGGACATGTTTCAAGGACCCATATTAAAAAAATTTGTGATATTTTTAGCTCTTTGTGTTGTTGGGAATCATCATTTTAATGATTTGAATGATTATGTTATTACTTTTGTATGTAAATAATTATAATTACATAATTTTATTATATATATAGATATATTAAAATGAATAGTAAATATAATTTAAAAATATATATTGTTTATTTATTTGAACACATTTATAACAAAATCATGTGTTTATAATTTTCAGATTAATCTTATTTTCTACAAAATAATTCTACATATATTAAAATTCTTATTAAAAATATAATAGGTCAAATGCGATTGGTTGTTAAAAAAGGAATGATATTTGGACATGTATAAATAAATGTAGCATCCCTCAAAATGGAGAGGATTGAACTTCTAATGATAATAAATAAATAAATAAAAACTGACTATTGAATGTGAATGAGTAAATGTCCAAAGAATTGAACGTATAACTATCTGTCTTCTCTTTTTCTTTTCCCTAACATATTCTTCATTACATAAATGTTACTTGAATATGTGCTCGAAAAAAAATGTTAATTGTACGGGAAAAAAATAAATTTTTTCATATAATTCTGTTGATCAAGTCTGTCCTCCTCTGTATGACGTCACTTTACTCCCTGAAAATACAAACGTGAGCTAACCGGCCGGTGTGTGCCGGATACCCCTCCGATACCTAAGTCAGCAAAATAGACAAATAGACAAAAATTCTGTGTATTCGGGAATCAAAATTGTGTTACCTCTCCATAGGTGATGTTATGAGTTTTTATAAGTTCCGTGTGGCACAATCCTAGTAGGACTCTTACTCCTTCATGTAGAGTTCTCCTAAGAATCACATTCATGAAAGATAATGCTTATCCTTTAACACCCCATCACTGCTTAAACCAAGTGAGATGGTTTTACCATGGTTGGATGTTACGACCGAGATAACATGGCCATGCTAAAGCCGTAGATTAGACCAAGCTCTAACTAGCTCGGTTCTTCCTTTCACTGTGCTTGTACCTCGGTTGACATATTCCAACTGGGTTGTCTGAAACCGTGCTATCCACAATGAGCTTGGACCGAGCTAACCAATAGCAAGGTTCTAAGGAAAGCCCACCTTACTTCGGCTCAACATGGTATGACCGAGCAAACTGTTACCGCTCTGAGTGTGATGACCGATCTAACTGCAGAGCTCTCTTGGACCAGACTAACTTCCTGTCCCTTTTACTCGGCCTCTCTTATTATGGCCCACAGATCAGCCCATAGATCCAGCTCGGCCTAATTTTCAAATAAATTACCCTCTCATTAATTGAATATTGAATATATTATTGCATACACCTTTTAGAGTTATTAAAATAAGAATAATCAAAATAAATAGAATAGGAAAAAAAATAGAGAGAGACATTTTTGTGGTCTCAAATATGTGACAGGCACAGTTCATTTGGAAAACTAGGCGACAAAAATGAACAAAAATTATAAATTTTTACTATAAAAAAATAAGAAATAATTATGATTTTTTACCATTATAAAATAAGTGCCTTTTATTTTGTATTTAGAGGAACATTTTAAGTATTATATAAATTTTAGGATAAATTACATTTACCTCCCCTGAGGTTCTTGACAACTACAAGGACTTCCTCTACGATTTTAAAAAAGTTTGTGATACTTTTAATTTTTACTGATGTTTTGAAGGCACATGTTTACATAAGTAGGAAATACGATCATTTAACAAAGACACGTGTTAAAAAAGTTTGTGATACTTTTAATTTTTACTAATGTTTTAAAGGCACAAATTTACAAAAGTAGGAATATACAATTATTAAACAAAGGCAAGTGTTAAAAACATTTGTGATACTTTTAACTTTTATTAATATTTTAAGAACATGCATTAACAAAACGATGAATATTTGATCATTTAATTTTTTATTTACTAACGTTTTTATGGACATGTTTCAAGGACCCATGTTAAAAAAATTTGTGATATTTTTAGCTCTTTGTGTTGTTGGGAATCATCATTTTAATGATTTGAATGATTATGTTATAACTTTTGTATGTAAATAATTATAATTACATAATTTTATTATATATATAGATATATTAAAGTGAATAGTAAATATAATTTAAAATATATATATTGTTTATTTATTTGAACACATTTATAACAAAATCACGTGTTTATAATTTTCAGATTAATCTTATTTTCTACAGAATAATTCTACATATATTAAAATTTTTATTAAAAATATAATAGGTCAAATGCCATTGATTGTTAAAAAAGGAATGATATTTGGACATGTATAAATAAATGTAGCATTCCTCAGAATGGAAAGGATTGGATATTTGGACATGTATAAATAAATGTAGCATTCCTCAGAATGGAAAGGATTGAACTTCTAATGATAATAAATAAATAAATAAAAACTGAATATTGAATGTGAATGAGTAAATGTCCAAAGAATTGAACGTATAACTATCTGTCTCTCTCTTTTTCTTTTCCCAACATATTCTTCATTACATAAATGTTACTTGAATATGTGCTCGAAAAAAAAAGGATGAGGGGTCACTGCACGGGTGCCCCTGCTGTGCCGTTCAAACGACAAAACGGCACCGTTTTTTTTTTTTTTTTAAATTACATCAACTTCTTATTTCATTACTCAAAAAAAAAAAAAAAAAAAAAAAAAAAAAAAAGGTCCCGTTTTTTTTTTTTTTTTTTTTTTTTTTTTCATGTTCTTACTATGTTTTTTGACATGATAAATTACACTTTATCCATATATTTGGTCACTTTTTTATTTTAATTCTTAATTTTTTTTTAAGATTTAGGGTTTAATTTTTAAAATTAATTTTTTTTATTTTATGGTTTAGGGATAAATTTTTTTTATTTTTTTTAATTTTAGGGTTTAATGTTTAATTCTTAAAATTTATTTTTTTATTTTAAGATTTAGGGATAAAATTTATTTATTTTTTATTTTAGGATTTAGGTTTTTTTTTTTTTTGAGTAATGAAATAAGAAGTTGATGTAATTCTAAAAAAAAAAAAAAAACGGTGCCGTTTTGCCGTTTTGAACGGCACAGCAGGGGCACCACTGCAGTGACGCCTCATCCAAAAAAAAAAATGTTAATTATACGGGAAAGAAATAAACCTTCTCGTATAATCTTATTGGTTAAGTCTGCGCTCTTTCGTACGACATCACTTTACTCCCTGAAAACACAAACGTGAGCTAACCGGCGGGTGTGTGCCGGATACCCCTCCGATGCCTAAGTCAGCAAAACGTGAGCTAACCAGCGGGTGTGTGCCGGATACCCCTCCGATGCCTAAGTCAACAAAATAGACAAATAAACAAAAGTTCTGTGTATTCGGGAATCAAAGTTGTGTTACCTCTCCATAGGTGATGCTATAAGTTTTTATAGGTTCCGTGTGGCACAATCCTAGTAGGACTCTTACTCCTTCATGTAGAGTCCTCCTACGAATCACATTCCTGGAAGACAATACTTATCCTTCAACACTATTCACTGCTTAAACCAAGTGAGATGGTTATATCATGGTTGGATGTTACGACCGAGATAACATGGCCATGCTAAAGCCGCAGACTAGACCGAGCTTCAACTAGCTCGGTTCTTCCTTTCACTGCGCTTGTACCTCGGTTGACATATTCCAACTAGGTTGTCTGAAACCATGCTATCCACAATAAGCTTGGACCGAGCTAACCAATAGCAAGGTTCTGAGGAAATCCCACCTTACTTCGACTCAACATGGTATGACCGAGCTAACTGTTACCGCTTTGAGTGTGGTGACCGAGCAAACTGCAGAACTCACTTGGACCGGGCTAACTTCCAGTCCCTTTTACTCGGCCTCTCTTATTATGGCCCACAGATCGGCCCATAGATCCAGCTCGGCCCAATTTTCAAATAAATTACCCTCTCATTAATTGAATATTGAATATATTATTGCATACACCTTTTAGAGTTATTAAAATAAAAATAATCAAAATAAATAGAATAGGAAAAAAAATAGAGAGAGACATTTTTGTGGTCTCAAATATGTGACAGGCACAGTTCATTTGGAAAACTAGGTGACAAAAATGAAGAACAAAAATTATAAATTTTTACTATAAAAAAAATAAGAAATAATTATGATTTTTTACCATTATAAAATAAGTGCCTTTTATTTTGTATTTAGAGGAACATTTTAAGTATTATATAAATTTTAGGATAAATTACATTTACCTCCCCTGAGGTTCTTGACAACTACAAGGACTTCCTCTACGATTTGAATAATTACAGTAACCTCTCATACTTTACCTCACAATGTCAAGATTCCCCCTTCTGTCAAATTGTTCCAAACGGAGTTACTTTTTCTATAATAAATTACCTTATTGTCCTTCCTTTTAAATATTAAAAAATATTTTTGGATTGGAGGACAAATTTGGAAAAAACAAATAGTGTTTGGAATAGTATTTTTGAATTTATTTTTTAAAAGTATTAAAAAATATTTTTAAAAAAATTATTTTTTTATTTTAAATATATAATTTTTATTTACATATTTTTAAATATTTTATTTTATTTTGAAAATATTTTAATTTTTTAAATTTTAATATTTTAAACTCAAAACACAACTTCACACTCAAATCATAACCAAATATATAACTCAAAATTCAATTTTAAAATGGGGTATTTTTTTTAAGGTCCCTGATATTATGATTTTATAGTATAAAGGACATCAAATATTTTCATGATGTCTAAGGTCCCTTAACAGGATCCAGAGAAATTTCTGTCACGACCCAAACCCGGCCCTATGGGTTTAGTACCGTAACCGGCCAGTAATCCGAGATTACCGAAGGCCTGCAGAACAGTAATACAGTAAAACAGAGTACAGGGCCTGGCGGAAGCCAATACAGTAAATAAATAGTGTCCATTGAGCTGTGACAGTCTGTATGCAAAAAGGCTTTTCATACATTATACAAAAACCAGTACAGAACAGTATACACAATATTCACATCCATTCAACAAGGGACTCAACCCTACAGAACAGTACAGAAAACATTCCGTCTGTACAAAACAGTACGGTCTATACAAAACAGTAAAACAGTACAGAAGGGGGAA